GGGGGGGGGGTTCACTCATGATCTTACCACCCAGAAAACCAGAGGGTGTTTAGATGTTCTTTCTAGTCGCTTCCACATGGGTGTGGACACTTAGGACACAACACACACCCGGGATGGCGCCAGAAACACGCTTCCCCACACGACCTGGACCGTGGCTGGCCACGAGACTGAGCTGCAGGCGCTGCAGCCGCTAAACTGCGAGCGGGGTGCGGGAACTGGTGGGCGCGCCTGGGCGCTTCACAGCCCGTGTCCTGGGTTCCCAGACAAGTCCAGATTTGCAGCAAATGACATTTCTGCACGATTAACACAAGAACTTTCCACACTTGCCGACTCTCACGTCGTCGTTTAAAATTGCTGTCTGGGGCCTCCCTGGTGGCACAGGGTTGAGTCCAGCACTGTGGAGCTGCTGTAGCCGCTGCAGCCTGAGCCTGGGCCCCGGCCAGGGAGTGAGCACAGGGCGCGGCAGATCCTTCCTGTCTCCCCGCTGCCCCCTCAGCAGTGGATTTCAGTGGATGCGCCTGCTGTGCTCCCCTCTAGGGTGGCACCAGGCTGTTCCTTCATCTCCACCCCACCTATGGGGGCAAGGGGCGGTACAGCCAAGAAACCTTGGAAGCTGGGCCTCAGCTGAGGTCTCCCCTCTGCCCCCGTGGCCAGCGCCGCTCTCTGGGACAACGGAGACGTAGGGCTGGCGTCACTGGCCCGGCCTGCAGCTTGAGCCCTGCGCTGCCAACCGTGTCAACTGAAACACGGACACTGGGCACTCGGCACAGCACGAGCGCCTGCGAGACAACATGGATTCGCGAAACGTTAGGCCTGTCAAGGGCCCAGACGCAGGCACGTAAACCAGGCGTCAAGCTCACTGAATGCACGACGCCACGGAAACGCGAGCGCGCCTGCTGGCAGAGCTGCGGGCGCAGGGAGAACGTGCACCGCGGCCAAAGTGACACAACGGGGCGAGGCCAGAGAGCGGGCACGCCCTTACCTTTCAGCGCGCTGTCATTGGCACCGAAGAAAATCGTCACTGCCACGATGGGATGGTCCGAGCCGCCCCCTTTCCTGATTAACCTCGGAAGGATGATTTTGGCCCATCTGGTATTGTAACCCGAAAATCCGCGATTCAGAACATCACATTTTCTGAAATGAGAAATTGGCAAAGGAGGTGAGGTGGGCACGGCTGTGGGCCTCACAGGCCGGGCCGCGCCCTCCCTCCACAGGGCAGCTCCAGGCCGCACTGGGCCCTCAGGTGAGGCCAGGCGTGGGGCTTGACAAACCCTGCTCGCTTTGCGCTTCCCGCCTGCTCCTGCGCTCACAGGCCCACGTGCCCCCCTCTCCCACCCGAGGGCTGACACCCGCCTCTTAGGCTCAGTCTGTGTGCTCAGGCTCGGCACACTGCCGCTCAGACCAGTTCACGAACAGGCCTTTTTCTTCTAAAAATACCTGACTCGATGCACAGCGCTACATGGGTGGCGACAAAAGCCGTGGGTCTGGCTGGGCCGGGTGCCAGCACTGTCGCCCGGGGCTATGGCCGGGACGTGCCCCCGCAAAGGGGCATGAGCAGCTCAGGCCTAGTTTGGGTCCTTCAGACACGGCCCCCAAGGCCGGGTGAAGGAGGGGCGCGCCTTCAAACGTGACCTTGGTAAGTGGACGGGCAGGCCCTGGAGCCTGCAGGTGCTTCGAGTTGCACTAAGTGCAGCTCAAATCCGACTTCGGATCGGCAGGCCGCCTTGGGGCCGCCGGTGCGTGGCTCAAGCCCTCACCTAGAAAAACGTGCAGCCCAATGACCGAGCTTGCCAGATCAAAGGCCAGGCAACGGGCCAGAGACTGGCAGCTGGAGGAAACCTGACGCTATTCTGGAAGCATCTTGGGGCAACAGAGTTTATCAGTCTGTTTTTCAAAGTCTGATTTCCAGTGTTTTCTGTGGAGCGACTCCTGCAGCTGACCGGCCCCTTGGCAGACGACACACACTTAAAACGCAACAGCTTGGAAATTTAACACGCGCGTCTGTCCTCCACCCTCCAAAGCGCCACTCAACGGCAGCACCCAAGAGGCAAACACTTCCCGAAGGCCCGTGCCGTGAGGATGCCAAACCACAAGGTCTGGAGCAGCAGCCAGGGCCTCGCTGCGGGTGCCCAGGACGTCCCCCACCGAGGGCGAAGGGCGCTGCTAACTGGGCCGCCAGGCATGTGCAGGTTGCCAGCGTGGCCAGGCTCGCGGAGTCCCCGCTCAGGCCAGTACAGACCCCGAGGGAGCGCGGGAGGGAGGCCCAGCGGTTCCAGGGAGGGTCAGAGAGAGCATCCGAGTTCCTCTGGGTCTCATGACCGTGCCAGGTGGCTCCCAACCAGAAAACACAAGTTTCTACACAAATTCACGGCTCAAGACAGGTATTTAAGTTTGGATGAAAAGTGGGAAAAGGCAAGGACTGAAAGGTGTTTCAAAATATCCAGGCCCTCCAAGGGATCTTGCGGCGAGTATGTAAATCTGGGGCTTTACAAATCCCAACAGGCAGGGGCACCCTTAGAAAGAAGCTTTTACAAAGGCGAATTTGTCCTGACTCCTTCAGCAAGTCTTTTTGTTAGAGACACTTGCATGAAGTTTAAAAAGAAAATGTCAGTATGTTTTAAAGGGGTTTAAGCATCCTGCAGATGCTTCCGTGGGAGCACACAGGTCTGTTCCGGGCTGCAACGGCCCGAGGCGGCGTGGGGCAGGCTCCCTCACGCAGCTGAACTCCCCATCGTCCAGCAGGCGCCACGGGAGGGCAGTTCCACTCAGTGGTGTCTAAGTTTGCAAAGTGGAAATCAGGTCAGAAGAGACCAGGTCAGTCAGGGCTGCGCAATGCTGCAGCCGACGCTGGGGGCCGAGGTCTGTCAGAGAGGCCCGCGTAGCCACGCAGCTGCAGCCTGCGTGACTGTCGGGCGGCAGCTGCCGGGGACACAGACACCAGCGCCGGTCCAGGTGCTAAGGAAGCAGGTGGGTCCAGCCGCCCTGGCCCTGGCAGCGGCTGCAAGGCCGCCTCTAAGGCACAGGCCCCCGCACCCGGCCCCTCAGCCCCTCAGCTTCTCTTGCAGGCCCGCGGCTAGCAGTCGGGGGAGGCGGGTGCCAGGGCGCTTTCAGCATGGCACTTCAGTTTACAGTGGGCTCCCCCGAGCCTGCGGAAGTGTGTGCCAGGAGAGGCGACGCAGCTCCGCAGGCAGAGCCTGAGGGGGGGAATCTGGACAGGTGAGGTCCCGGGGGGGGGCGCTGCTCAGCGCCTCGAGGCAGCCTTGGCCACAAGAAGCACCCCTTACTCCAGGGAAAGGGGGGGGGGGGGCAGCGGGGCCTCGTGCTTAGTTAAGCCTCACAAGGTGCTCTGAGAAGTGGCGGAACAAAGCTAACGGCCCACGCGCTGTCTCAAGGTCTCCCAGTCACGCCAAACCGGAAGCCCAAGTAGGTTCTAGTTAAGGGGCCTCCAGCGGCCGCACCTGTAACTACGGTGGAAACTTAAACTCCACGTGAAACTGCGGGCGAAACATCGGCACCTGGAGGTTTCCAGGCTCTTTAGCTTTCCGGGGTCTCCCACTCAGCAGGGGCGGCGCTAATTCCACAGCGACCCGACTACGAGAAGAGCCGGGTCTGCTGCGCGCCCGTGTCCAGGGCACACCCCAGCCGCCCAGGAAGCGGGGCCTGGCCTCCCCGTGTGGTGGCCCCGCGGTTCACCTCTCCTCCTCCTCTTTCTCAGCTAGAAAAGGGGGCAGGGCTGAGATTACCTCAGGGTAGCCCGGAAGGTTCAATGAGGCGACACACAGCACTTTTAAGACCTGCCGTCTCTGGAGCTGGGGCTTCCCTTCTAATGGCGTCCATCGCACATACTCAAGTTAAGCTTAAGTTAAGCTGCGCAAACAAAATGCAAATTCAAAGTGACGATTTTGGTAAAGGGGGGGCGGCTACTCACGGGATTCGACTGAGTGAAGAATGTATTTTCTGGGCCGCAGCTCAGCGCTCCCACCACAAAGGCCAGAGGACATGCCGGCCAGGGAGTGACCCCAGGACCCAGGAGACGCCTCCTGTCTCCCCGCTGCCCCCCAGCAGTGGGTTTCAGTAGGTCTGTTCTGCTCCCCGCTCTGGCTCTGGGGGACCCTTTCACTCCCCCTGCACCTCTGGCCTGCACCCCAGTCTCTCTATGCAAAACATATCTCAACTTCTCAGTCAAGGGAATTCCTTCAATCACAAACCTCAACGCTAAGTGGAGACCTGTCTCTGGGTGAAGGGTCACACTACTTTCCATCCAGACTCCCACACTTCTCACAACTGTCAGGGTTTGATTGCAAGTCGCCCCATTCTTTGTACGGATCCAGGGCGCCAGCCCTTCCCGCCCCACACCGCCATGCGGACCACCAGGAAGTCCGGAAGGGCAGGGAGAGACTCTTGCTTGCAAGTGCTTCGTGCACGCCCCCAGAGGCAATCACACTTCCAGTCACACTCAGTGTCACCCAGAAACTCCTCACCTGACCAGCTTGTCAGCCAGGGATGCGCCCCATCCTCCCTGCTGGAAAGAAAACTGAAGACAGAAAGCTCGTTACCACCCGAGGCGCGGCGCCTGCTCGGGCCCCTCACTCGCTCATTTCAGGGGTGATGGAGCGGCACCCGCGGCGGCTTTTCGTCCCCGGCACCTGGCCGCGTGCCAGTCACCTGCATTCTGTCCGGCCCTGACTGCCTGGAGCCGCCGCACGAAAGG